CCCCAAAAAAAAACATTGCCATCAGCCACAACTCTTCTAGTGACAATACTCGAAAATCATTGAATTGCTAGAAAATGTACTTTTTTTGCTCCATTTTCCCGTTGTAGCCTCCCTGAGCTCATGTCCAAACACAACGGCGCAGAGAAACTTTTCCCTTAACGGGAGGTGAAAATAGAGGCTGGGTTATTAATTAACAGAGCCATTAGCCATTTCCCGTCCTCGCCGGTGGCACAGATGGGTCCCTGCTGCAGGTGGGGAGGAGGGGAGGGGGGACGACATCATCCCCTTTTTCCCTTATTTCTGATGACAATTCCCAGAACGACCAAGAGACTGGGGACAAGCACGGGACTGGGAGAGGGTTTTTCCTTGGGGAACCACTGTTCCTCCTGCAGAAAATGTCCATTTTTCATCGTTCTGCCGTTAAAGGGATTAAAACACACACATACATCCCCCCCCACACACACACACACCCCCTTTCTTTTGGCTCCTCTGAAAACGTGGCCCCCAAAAAGAGTCAGGGGGTGCTGGTGCACGGTTTGGTGCAGGTGTGCACATGCGTGTGCATGGGATGCGCACGCTCCCCCCCAACACCCGGGCAGCCCCTTCTCCCTCCCCACTCCCCAGCTCATTAACGACAAAACTCAACAACTCAACGTTTTCCCCCCAAATCTGCTTTTCAGCCCTATTTTTTTTGGAGCGTTATTCCCCGCTCCAAGCTTTTCCAAGCCCTGCTTTGGAACCAGGAGCCACCGGAGGATGCGGACACTCCTGCCTTTACCCGAGGCGTAGGAATTAAACGCCCAGGGGTGAGAATTAAAACAGGTTTCAGCCAGTCTCCGTTTTATTCCGATTTCTCCTGACAGGAAACTGCCCTCTCCCAGCTCCTGCCTTTTCCCAAAATTCACCCACCTGGGGAAAAAAAAAAAAAAAAAAAAACAACAACACAGCACCCTTAGGTCCCAAATTAAGGCAAGAGCAATGGAAATTTAACAGGTTGACAAGGAGAACTGGGGAGCAGTTAAAGCATACAGCAAGAAAGTGGGGAAAAAAAAAAAAAAACAAAAACAACAACATCATCCCACCCACTCCCCACAGCCCGGAGAAACACCCTGTATTTACCCTGTATTTAAGGTTATTTAGGAAGCGGAGGCGCCTTCAGGCCGATGGAAAATGCTGGATATAAAAAATACAGCCCAGCTGGCTGGGAAGGGGGTGACTAATTACACCCTGCAACCTAAAAATATAACGAAGATGAGTTGAGAAAGGCCAAAAAGGAGACGTGAATTTTGGCGGATTCAAGCGGCTCGACCATCCCCAGGCACTGGGGATGGAGCATCGGGTCAAAATTACAGCCCCCAAACGCCCCCAGTGGGATTTTTCCCTTGGTTTTGGGCGCTGAGGTGCCACGGTTGCTTCAACTCTTGAGAAAAACCATCTGTCCTGGCCATTTTTAAATTAAATTTACCGGCCAGGCTCTCAAAGCAAAAAAAAGAACCAACTGGGGCTGGGTTTCTTCCTTCCGGCAAATTCTAGATGGCTGTTAGAATTTACAGCTCTTCTCGCCCCAGTTTGCTTTCAGATCCGGTGTTTCCACCAGAAAGGAGGTTTTTCAGCACGCTGGGAAAGGAGATTTTCTTCCAGGCCCTACAGAAAAGCACAAAACACTCTAAAATCATCCCACCACCTAATTAATTTGAGGAGGAAAGGCCTTGAGTGAAATAAAGCTCCTGATTCCACCCAGGGCAGAAAAAAGCCCCAATATCCACAGGAAGAGAGGAACTGACCTCAAAGCTGTGGTTCTAAAGAAAGATGTAGGATTTGTCTTGGAAAAGTCCTCGGAGAAGCGGCTTTGCCCCACGGGAAGCCCCGGTGAACCCTGGTGCCTGCCCCATCCACATGGGTCCCTGCCCCATCCGAAGGGACAAGGTCCTTGGGACACACAGATGTTTGTCACCAGCTCCATCGTGGCCACGGGGGAATCATAAGCAGCAAATTCATCAACCCAGCTGCATTTCTGGGAAGAGATTTGAGTCCTGACTGTTATCTGAGCTGCTGAAGATGAGACGCTGGAGCTGGCCATTAGCCCTGAGGGGTGGAAGCAGAGAAGCCTGGTGATCGATTCCGAGGCAAGTTGCCTCAGAGCTGAGATCCCAAATCCATTTCAGAAGAAACGTGCAAAACGCAAAGACCCGAGATGAGGTTTTTCCAAAGGAAAAATAAGGCCTGTTTGGGGATTTGAAGCTAATCTGTGCTTCGTGCCTCAGTTTCCCCACTTCAGCAGGTGAATTCCTTTGCAAAACACCCGGGCAGCCGCTGCTGGAGAGTGCTATGGGGCAGTCAAACCGTTAACGAACTAATACAATCTTAATTCATGGAGGGCACCCTCACATGCAATTACTTGCTCCTGTTATTCATGACAAGATCAAAACCTTGGTCGAGGTTCACCCAGGCCCCGGCGAAGAACCAGAAGCTGCACCCTCTGCATCCCCAGTCCCTCCCACTCACCCCCTCTCCTTCAAAAGGTGTTTTCCCAAGAGATTTAATAGAAACTGGGGGCAGTAACACCCGTGTCGGTCCCTTCCCCGCGCTGGGGGAACCCCTTTCTGCTCCACTGCTCCCCAAAAACACCAGGACCAGGGCTGGGAGAACCCACCCCACACCCACGGGTGCTGATGAGCCTCTTCCCACCTGGAGAGGGATCAATTAACTCTCTCAGCTGGAGCTGATGAGGTTTTAATAGGAGTGAGAAGAGCTCTAGGTTACACCCCTCCAGGACACGCTCAGAAGGTGGGATCCTGTCCCCGTCACCACGTTCCTCAGCCTCTCTCAAACAGCCACTGGAGGTTTTGCGACAGTGAAAACCTCACAGTTCTCCCACCCGACCTTCCACGCTCTCAGAAAAAGCCAGTGTGACTTTTCAAACACCCCTGTCTATTTATGGAAAACTCATTTCCACTCGGTTAAAGGTGAATTTTGATAAATTTCCATCTCCCGTCAAATTCCAGCTCCCCTGCTCAGCCCCACACAAGTCCAGATCTCAGCACAGAAGCTGCTTTGATCTTCATGAAGCTCAGCAAACCCAAACACACCCAGGACCCTCAACTGGCCCAGGGGAGGGAGCTTGGGAGCACGCTGGATTACAGGGAAGAGGATGCCACCTGAGCTGACCCTGCTCAGAGCCATCGGTGGGATCTCCTGAAGGTCCAGAGAGCAGCTCAGGTGACCCGTCACGTTGGTTGAGGTGCAAATAGGCAGATTTCCCATCGCAAAGACAAAGTCCTACTTCATATGGGCTAAGACGTGCTTTAAATAGTCTGCTTGGCCCACGGACATCTCCTGGCAAATGTCACAAGCCTGAGCACCCTCGGAGGTGAGGACGGCGCCTTGTCCGAGCGTCCCGTCCTCCAGCACCCAGCCCGGTGTCCAGGACATCTGCAAGGAGCAAAGGGGAGAAGCGGTCAGTGGGAAAGGCAGAAATGGCCTCTTTTCATAGAATCATTGAATCACAGATTGTGTTGGGTTGGAAGGGACCTTAAAGATCATCCAGTTCCACCCCCTGCCCTGGGCAGGGCCACCTCCCACCAGACCAGGTTGCTCCAAGCCCCCTCCAACCTGGCCTTGAACCCCTCCAGGGATGGGGCAGTCACAGCTTCTCTGGCCAACCTGGGCCAGGCTCTCACCACCCTCACACCGAACAACTTCTTCCCCACATCTCAGCTCCATCTCCCCTCTTTCAGGGTCAAACCCTTCCCCCTCGTCCCATCGCTCCCCTCCCTGATCCAGAGTCCCTCCCCAGCTTTTCTGGAGCCCCTTGAGGGACTGGAAGGGGCTCCAAGGTCTCCCCGGAGCCTTCTCTTCTCCAGGCTGAACCCCCCCAACTCTCTCAGCCCCCCTCCCAACAGAGGGGCTCCAGCCCTCCCAGCATCTTTGTGGCCCTCCACTGGACCCATTCCAACAGGTCCATGCCCTTCCTGTGTTGAGGACTCCAGAGCTGGACACAGTGCTCCAGGTGGGGTCTCACCAGACCAGAGTAGAGGAGAGAATCCCCTCCCTCGTCCTGCTGGCCACGCTTCTTTTGATGCAGCCCAGGCTGTGGGGGGTTTCTGGGCTACCAGCACACATTGATGGCTCATGTGGAGCTTCTCATCCACGAGCACTCCCAAATCCTTCTCCTCAGGGCTGCTCTCCAGCCATTCTCCTCCCAACCTGCATTTGTGCTTGGGATTGCCACGTCCCAGGAGCAGGACCTCACACTTGGCTTGGTTGAACTTCATGCGGTTCGCACAAGCCCAGCTGCATCCAGCCTCCATCCTGGCACGTGCCAAAAGGCAGCCTCCGGAAGCAAATACCACCTTTTTGTGCCCATAGAAAGGCCCTCCTTGCTCCATCCTTGCCAAAATCCACCAGAGGATCCTGTCCCCACACGGCACCTGAGCCTCTCCCTTATCCCTCAGCAGGTACACTCACTACCCATGAGAAAAGTGCTTTTGTGAGAAGCAAACTGGAGCCCATTTGTAATTTCCTTTCTGTGCCATTATCGTTTAAGTGCTGATAAGGCACATTAGGGCTTTACCAGACAGATACCGCTTCCACTTTCTTTCTTCTCCTTCTTCTTAAAAAGAAACTACCCTCTAAATATAGCCCAGGCTGAAAATCAATAGCTTTTCCTGTGAATATGTAGCCACAGCAGTTGGGAAATAATTTTTAAGGGCCTCATTTGGAAGAAGAAATGAAAAGAAATGGGTTTGGCATCATAGGGACCCTCACTGGGAAGTCCAGGGCTGGTGTCCCTCCCGTGACACACATTGTGAAGGGTTAACAGGAGAAGTGAGGGGCCAGAGTTAAGGATGTCTTTAGAAATCATCCTTTTGGGGGGCGTATAAATCAGAGAGAATAAAGGAAATACTTGGGAGCTCATTTAATTTGCAGATCGAAAGGAGGTCGATGCAGTTTTTTCCCTCCCAAGACTGCTTCAAGGGTTCCTCAATGAAAGGAAGGATGACGGGAGGGACTTCTCCCAAAGTGTACCAAGTGCAGCCAGATCCCAGGGGGTTTTTACGTACCCAATTCCCCTGGGAATTGGAGAATCAGGTGCCTGGAGAGCTTTTCAGGACATAACCCTAAACCTCTGCTCTGGCACAGCTGCTCCCGTGCTACAGCAGGGCTGAGGGAGAGGATGCTGAAGGCTGAACTGTGCCGTGACACCGGGAAGAGCATGGAATCATAGAACCACGCGGGTTGGAAAAAGACCTTGAAGATCATTGAGTCCAACCATAAACCTAACGCCACCAAGCCCACCACTAAATCACATCCCTAAGTGCCACATCTTTTAAATATCTCCAGGGGTGGTGACTCAACCACTTCCACAGGCAGCCCATTCCAAGGCTTGATAACCCTTTTGGGGAAGAATTTTTTCCCAATATCCATCCTAAACCTCCCTTGGTACAACTTGAGGCTGTTTCCTCTCATCCCATCATTTGCTAATTGGTACGTAACATTTCTTTTCCATTTTTAAGGGCTTCTGTCCTGCTTCCACAACTGGGGTACCCCTGAAGATCATTTTCAATGATTTATAATGAAGGATTCTACTTTAATGCTGAGAAGATCCCATTTTTTATCATTAGCACATGGAATTCAGAAACATTTACTTCCTCTTGTGGTCACGAAGGCAGGGGCTATTCATACTTTTGACTTACAAGAATCAAAATGGTTTTTAAAGTACAGATAAGCTTCTTCAAAAACTTCACAAACCCCCTCTTTTATCAGTGGAAAACACGGGCAATTTGAGTCACAAGGAGGGCTGGTTATGTTGGTAAGAGCATGCAAAAGTCACAGACAAAAAGTCCCCCTCAACCTCCCAATTTACCTTCACAGGTCCTCGGATCTCTACTGGGATGTCAGCCTCAGCAGGCAGAGCGTTTTCCTGGGAATCATCTTCCCTCCGAAGGGCTTCAGGGGCATCGTAGAGGTCCAGAAGAGTCAGGAAAGAGTCCCCGACCACCGGGTTCGGTGCCAAAAACTCCTGCGGGCTGCAGCAAGCTCTCACTTCTTCTTTGGGGGCTTTCATGGCAGGAAACATCCTGCAGGTTTTCAGCCACGTGTTTATATCCACCCTCTCTCTCCTCTCCGCCTCGTTGCCGCCAAAAGCTACGGCAAGAGCTGCTCCTCCAGTTCCACCACCAAAGATGCTGCCGTTCCCGGCGCTTGGTGGGTACTTGCTGTCAAAGCTGGGCAACGTGCCGGTGGCTTGTGGCTTCACCAGGGGATGAGCGGAGCCCTCCAGGGTGGAGGTGGCAGATATCAAGGCCCCCAAGCGTTTCTGGTGGCCGTCTGGTGGCCTTTCCCCTTCCTCCGCCACCATATCCTCCGTGCACTGGATCGGCAGCGACACGGGGATATCTTTGAAAGAAAACAAGCCAGAGCAGTAATTCCTGGGACTTTTATCGGCCTTTTTTTTCCCTTCCCATTGCCTCGTTTGCCTTTTGTGCTTGCGAAACAACTGGGTGCTACTTCCTCGCTGGCAAAACTTGTCCATCCCCATTGCTCAATGAAATACAAGGGTGGACCAGTGAAGAAAGGGCAGCTGGAGACAGCCAGAGAGGGCTGAGGGTTGGAGGAGCATTAACTACCTTAAGAGATGTTGAGACATCACCATGTCCCCAAAAGCTGGGCTCGTCCCAGTGATGGGCTTGGGTCCCAGGCTTTGGTTTAGGCCTTGCTTGGAGACATTTATTTGCGCACCAGCCCCAGGAAGGACAGACAGACAGACAGCAGAGCTGGAGGGAAAGGAGGCAAATGCCAGGGAGGGGAGCACGAGAGCCAGCCCGGCGGCTGGTTTTGCAGCACAGAGCAATCGTTTGCCCGAGTCAATCCCTCCCGACCACAGAAAACCCCCTGTGGGAGCGATGTGACAGCCTGGGGGGCACAGACGAGCACACGGACCAGCCCGGGGACCAGGAGGGAGATTTCTTGGAAAAACAGGCTGTTGGGGAGGGTGAGGACATTTCCCCCGGGTGGTTTCCAAGCTCCACTGTCAGTCCTGCTTGCCAAAACCGCTCTAGGCAACGGGTACCATCTGCCCCACGCTCCTTCCCCCTCTCCCCAGGAGGCAAGAGGTGTGAAGAAGCAGCGACATGACTGCGGCGGCTTTAACACGACTCTAAGCAGACACAGACACATGTTAGTCCACATTTAATGGAGAAGATGAAGCCAAAAAGCCACGACACTGGTTGCAGAGCACGTTTCTGCCTTCCATCAGCTTCACATTCCCCCCTACTTGCTGCAGGAAACTTCTTGCCAGTATCAGGACAAAGGTTCAAATGACATTTATTAGCCCGGATCTGGAGTTTCAACCCACCCCCCCGGCCCCAGAGTCTTACCGAGGATGGGTCCCTTCCTGGTGGTCAACTTCTGGAGGAGCTTGCCCTGCTTGGCGCACAGATCCTGCAGCCTGGCGACCTCCTCGCAGAGCTGGAGGAATATTTCTTCCATCTCCATCGCGCCTGATGAGGAGAAAAGCAAAAAAGGACTGGTCGTGTGAGACCTGAAGGCAGTGAGGAGCCACCGAGGTTCCCCCAAACTGGTGGGATGGGGAGGACCGGGCTCAGTGGAGCTGCAGGATCCCTGGAGACCCCACGTGCTCACAACCCTAGAGCTGTAAAGAAAGAAGCACTCCCAGTTCTCTTACAATTTAGACAGAAAAAAAACCAACTGAAAAGGGAAGTGAGATTCTATCCAAGTCAGGGGATAACTGAGCAGCCAAGTTGGGCTTTTCCACCCCTCAGCCCACAGTGGCCACAAGCTCAGCTCTGACCAACCCAAAAGTCCCATTTATTGAAAAATCTCCCTGGAAAAAGTTGCACTTCCCATTCCCTTGGTACCAAGGGCCCTAATTTTTTCTCATGCAGTGGTATGAGAGCAAACAAACTCCCAACAACAAACCCATACGTGCCCAAGTACGGGGACACAATTCCCCTTTCTTTCAGGTGCTCGGCCTCGAGCTGCCCCTTTTGCTCTCAAAACCACCCTGAAAATTAAAATCTGAGTCTGAGTTAACCAAATATTGTTACTACAAAGGAAAAGCTCCCCTGCATTGTGTTCAACACATTTCTCCCCGCTTTAACAGCTGTATTGTGGACTTAGACTTTCCAGTTTTACCATATTGCACCAATTATTACCAGTCTGAAAGATAATAAATAAAACCGAAGCTCGATACAAATCTGCAAGCCATCTGCAAAGTACTTTTTAATTTGAAAGATTCGTGCGATCGCCCATTAGCATAAATATGCAAATGGGCTTTGCTTCCTGTCATATTTTCCAGGTTCACTGCTGCTCAGCACTGCAAATTTAAGCTCTGGGTCTGTAATTAGGGGCTTGGCTTGATGGGTTTGATGGAGCCTCCTCTGCCGCCCGGGAAGATGCAGATTCCCCGGTGAAGGGTGAAGGGCAGGAATCCCCACCAGCCTGAAGGAAAGGCACCCGGCGCAAGGAAAACTGCAGACAAAATGGTAAGGTTCGCTCCCAGAGCAGGTATTTCTGCCTTTCTCCCACCTCAGAACAAGCCGCGACCGTAACCGCATGGTATTTTTGGCTGTTTGGGTCCCGCCGCTTCTTTAAAAACCAAGGATAAACATTTTGCACCCTCCGAAGCAGCTAACTCCATAGCTAACATCATCAAATTAAAGATTAAGAGGATATATTTTGTCTGAGAGCTATATATAGCTGTGCCAATTAATTATTCAGCAGTGTGTGATTTGGAGCTGTCATTCCCAAGCAAGCCGGTATTGATTTTGTACGATCCCCGCTGGCTTTTTTTCAGCAGTTAACTGCATCTTCATTTCCCCCAAATTACTTCTGTGACACTAGGAGGACGGTGCACCGGGAGATTTTAATCTCCTGCGTAACCTGAAAAGCCTTTCACAAATTGCAATTAAAGGAAGCAATCGGAGAAGACCAAAAAAAAAAATCCCGGGGAAATCGGATGCTCCGGGTTCACTGCGCGACTCGGAGGGGCAGGACCTGCCTTCAGCCGCCTTCTCCCTCAGTGCCAGGGAACAGAGCTGGTTTAACGTGGTGAAAAGCTCATCCCCACCCCCGTCCCCTCGCGACACGGCCGGGTGTGGACCCTGTGAAGCCAAAAATGCTTCGTTTTCCGCAGAAACGCACTTACTGTGGCGGGGGGCCCTCCTTCCCCCAGCCGGGCGGCCGCAGCGTGATGTGGGCTCGGCGAGTCGCAGTTGAGATAAAAAAAAAAAAAAAAAAAAAGGTTGAGCAGCAGCAAACTTTGGGGTAGGGACTTTCCCCTGCAGTTTTTCTGTGCTCAGAGCGAAACCTCTGCACGGCGGCGAGGCAGGAAACAAAGCGGCAGAGAATTACAGGCAGCCACTGCACAAAGCCAGGGGTTAAATTTAGCTCTGAAAAGCACAGGAGATGATTATGAAGGCCAAGGGTGGCCTCGTGGCGGGTGAGTGTTGGCTCCTCTCTGCGTCGCATCGGGTGAGGCAGGTGCCTTTTCTGTGCCTCAGTTTCCCCTCACCTTTCTCTAGCGATTCCTTAGTGCTGGATCATGAAGGCTGCTGGGGATTTGTGCGCCTGCGGTGCCCCGGAGCCCTGCCTGACTTATCCCCCTTTGAGAAAAGTGCTTTTGTGAGAAGCAAACTGGAGCCCATTTGTAATTTCCTTTCTGTGCCATTATCGTTTAAGTGCTGATAAGGCACATTAGGGCTTTACCAGACAGATACCGCTTCCACTTTCTTTCTTCTCCTTCTTCTTAAAAAGAAACTACCCTCTAAATATAGCCCAGGCTGAAAATCAATAGCTTTTCCTGTGAATATGTAGCCACAGCAGTTGGGAAATAATTTTTAAGGGCCTCATTTGGAAGAAGAAATGAAAAGAAATGGGTTTGGCATCATAGGGACCCTCACTGGGAAGTCCAGGGCTGGTGTCCCTCCCGTGACACACATTGTGAAGGGTTAACAGGAGAAGTGAGGGGCCAGAGTTAAGGATGTCTTTAGAAATCATCCTTTTGGGGGGCGTATAAATCAGAGAGAATAAAGGAAATACTTGGGAGCTCATTTAATTTGCAGATCGAAAGGAGGTCGATGCAGTTTTTTCCCTCCCAAGACTGGATCGACTGCTTCAAGGGTTCCTCAATGAAAGGAAGGATGACGGGAGGGACTTCTCCCAAAGTGTACCAAGTGCAGCCAGATCCCAGGGGGTTTTTACGTACCCAATTCCCCTGGGAATTGGAGAATCAGGTGCCTGGAGAGCTTTTCAGGACATAACCCTAAACCTCTGCTCTGGCACAGCTGCTCCCGTGCTACAGCAGGGCTGAGGGAGAGGATGCTGAAGGCTGAACTGTGCCGTGACACCGGGAAGAGCATGGAATCATAGAACCACGCGGGTTGGAAAAAGACCTTGAAGATCATTGAGTCCAACCATAAACCTAACGCCACCAAGCCCACCACTAAATCACATCCCTAAGTGCCACATCTTTTAAATATCTCCAGGGGTGGTGACTCAACCACTTCCACAGGCAGCCCATTCCAAGGCTTGATAACCCTTTTGGGGAAGAATTTTTTCCCAATATCCATCCTAAACCTCCCTTGGTACAACTTGAGGCTGTTTCCTCTCATCCCATCATTTGCTAATTGGTACGTAACATTTCTTTTCCATTTTTAAGGGCTTCTGTCCTGCTTCCACAACTGGGGTACCCCTGAAGATCATTTTCAATGATTTATAATGAAGGATTCTACTTTAATGCTGAGAAGATCCCATTTTTTATCATTAGCACATGGAATTCAGAAACATTTACTTCCTCTTGTGGTCACGAAGGCAGGGGCTATTCATACTTTTGACTTACAAGAATCAAAATGGTTTTTAAAGTACAGATAAGCTTCTTCAAAAACTTCACAAACCCCCTCTTTTATCAGTGGAAAACACGGGCAATTTGAGTCACAAGGAGGGCTGGTTATGTTGGTAAGAGCATGCAAAAGTCACAGACAAAAAGTCCCCCTCAACCTCCCAATTTACCTTCACAGGTCCTCGGATCTCTACTGGGATGTCAGCCTCAGCAGGCAGAGCGTTTTCCTGGGAATCATCTTCCCTCCGAAGGGCTTCAGGGGCATCGTAGAGGTCCAGAAGAGTCAGGAAAGAGTCCCCGACCACCGGGTTCGGTGCCAAAAACTCCTGCGGGCTGCAGCAAGCTCTCACTTCTTCTTTGGGGGCTTTCATGGCAGGAAACATCCTGCAGGTTTTCAGCCACGCGTTTATATCCACCCTCTCTCTCCTCTCCGCCTCGTTGCCGCCAAAAGCTACGGCAAGAGCTGCTCCTCCAGTTCCACCACCAAAGATGCTGCCGTTCCCGGCGCTTGGTGGGTACTTGCTGTCAAAGCTGGGCAACGTGCCGGTGGCTTGTGGCTTCACCAGGGGATGAGCGGAGCCCTCCAGGGTGGAGGTGGCAGATATCAAGGCCCCCAAGCGTTTCTGGTGGCCGTCTGGTGGCCTTTCCCCTTCCTCCGCCACCATATCCTCCGTGCACTGGATCGGCAGCGACACGGGGATATCTTTGAAAGAAAACAAGCCAGAGCAGTAATTCCTGGGACTTTTATCGGCCTTTTTTTTCCCTTCCCATTGCCTCGTTTGCCTTTTGTGCTTGCGAAACAACTGGGTGCTACTTCCTCGCTGGCAAAACTTGTCCATCCCCATTGCTCAATGAAATACAAGGGTGGACCAGTGAAGAAAGGGCAGCTGGAGACAGCCAGAGAGGGCTGAGGGTTGGAGGAGCATTAACTACCTTAAGAGATGTTGAGACATCACCATGTCCCCAAAAGCTGGGCTCGTCCCAGTGATGGGCTTGGGTCCCAGGCTTTGGTTTAGGCCTTGCTTGGAGACATTTATTTGCGCACCAGCCCCAGGAAGGACAGACAGACAGACAGCAGAGCTGGAGGGAAAGGAGGCAAATGCCAGGGAGGGGAGCACGAGAGCCAGCCCGGCGGCTGGTTTTGCAGCACAGAGCAATCGTTTGCCCGAGTCAATCCCTCCCGACCACAGAAAACCCCCTGTGGGAGCGATGTGACAGCCTGGGGGGCACAGACGAGCACACGGACCAGCCCGGGGACCAGGAGGGAGATTTCTTGGAAAAACAGGCTGTTGGGGAGGGTGAGGACATTTCCCCCGGGTGGTTTCCAAGCTCCACTGTCAGTCCTGCTTGCCAAAACCGCTCTAGGCAACGGGTACCATCTGCCCCACGCTCCTTCCCCCTCTCCCCAGGAGGCAAGAGGTGTGAAGAAGCAGCGACATGACTGCGGCGGCTTTAACACGACTCTAAGCAGACACAGACACATGTTAGTCCACATTTAATGGAGAAGATGAAGCCAAAAAGCCACGACACTGGTTGCAGAGCACGTTTCTGCCTTCCATCAGCTTCACATTCCCCCCTACTTGCTGCAGGAAACTTCTTGCCAGTATCAGGACAAAGGTTCAAATGACATTTATTAGCCCGGATCTGGAGTTTCAACCCACCCCCCCGGCCCCAGAGTCTTACCGAGGATGGGTCCCTTCCTGGTGGTCAACTTCTGGAGGAGCTTGCCCTGCTTGGCGCACAGATCCTGCAGCCTGGCGACCTCCTCGCAGAGCTGGAGGAATATTTCTTCCATCTCCATCGCGCCTGATGAGGAGAAAAGCAAAAAAGGACTGGTCGTGTGAGACCTGAAGGCAGTGAGGAGCCACCGAGGTTCCCCCAAACTGGTGGGATGGGGAGGACCGGGCTCAGTGGAGCTGCAGGATCCCTGGAGACCCCACGTGCTCACAACCCTAGAGCTGTAAAGAAAGAAGCACTCCCAGTTCTCTTACAATTTAGACAGAAAAAAAACCAACTGAAAAGGGAAGTGAGATTCTATCCAAGTCAGGGGATAACTGAGCAGCCAAGTTGGGCTTTTCCACCCCTCAGCCCACAGTGGCCACAAGCTCAGCTCTGACCAACCCAAAAGTCCCATTTATTGAAAAATCTCCCTGGAAAAAGTTGCACTTCCCATTCCCTTGGTACCAAGGGCCCTAATTTTTTCTCATGCAGTGGTATGAGAGCAAACAAACTCCCAACAACAAACCCATACGTGCCCAAGTACGGGGACACAATTCCCCTTTCTTTCAGGTGCTCGGCCTCGAGCTGCCCCTTTTGCTCTCAAAACCACCCTGAAAATTAAAATCTGAGTCTGAGTTAACCAAATATTGTTACTACAAAGGAAAAGCTCCCCTGCATTGTGTTCAACACATTTCTCCCCGCTTTAACAGCTGTATTGTGGACTTAGACTTTCCAGTTTTACCATATTGCACCAATTATTACCAGTCTGAAAGATAATAAATAAAACCGAAGCTCGATACAAATCTGCAAGCCATCTGCAAAGTACTTTTTAATTTGAAAGATTCGTGCGATCGCCCATTAGCATAAATATGCAAATGGGCTTTGCTTCCTGTCATATTTTCCAGGTTCACTGCTGCTCAGCACTGCAAATTTAAGCTCTGGGTCTGTAATTAGGGGCTTGGCTTGATGGGTTTGATGGAGCCTCCTCTGCCGCCCGGGAAGATGCAGATTCCCCGGTGAAGGGTGAAGGGCAGGAATCCCCACCAGCCTGAAGGAAAGGCACCCGGCGCAAGGAAAACTGCAGACAAAATGGTAAGGTTCGCTCCCAGAGCAGGTATTTCTGCCTTTCTCCCACCACAGAACAAGCCGCGACCGTAACCGCATGGTATTTTTGGCTGTTTGGGTCCCGCCGCTTCTTTAAAAACCAAGGATAAACATTTTGCACCCTCCGAAGCAGCTAACTCCATAGCTAACATCATCAAATTAAAGATTAAGAGGATATATTTTGTCTGAGAGCTATATATAGCTGTGCCAATTAATTATTCAGCAGTGTGTGATTTGGAGCTGTCATTCCCAAGCAAGCCGGTATTGATTTTGTACGATCCCCGCTGGCTTTTTTTCAGCAGTTAACTGCATCTTCATTTCCCCCAAATTACTTCTGTGACACTAGGAGGACGGTGCACCGGGAGATTTTAATCTCCTGCGTAACCTGAAAAGCCTTTCACAAATTGCAATTAAAGGAAGCAATCGGAGAAGACCAAAAAAAAAAATCCCGGGGAAATCGGATGCTCCGGGTTCACTGCGCGACTCGGAGGGGCAGGACCTGCCTTCAGCCGCCTTCTCCCTCAGTGCCAGGGAACAGAGCTGGTTTAACGTGGTGAAAAGCTCATCCCCACCCCCGTCCCCTCGCGACACGGCCGGGTGTGGACCCTGTGAAGCCAAAAATGCTTCGTTTTCCGCAGAAACGCACTTACTGTGGCGGGGGGCCCTCCTTCCCCCAGCCGGGCGGCCGCAGCGTGATGTGGGCTCGGCGAGTCGCAGTTGAGATAAAAAAAAAAAAAAAAAAAAAGGTTGAGCAGCAGCAAACTTTGGGGTAGGGACTTTCCCCTGCAGTTTTTCTGTGCTCAGAGCGAAACCTCTGCACGGCGGCGAGGCAGGAAACAAAGCGGCAGAGAATTACAGGCAGCCACTGCACAAAGCCAGGGGTTAAATTTAGCTCTGAAAAGCACAGGAGATGATTATGAAGGCCAAGGGTGGCCTCGTGGCGGGTGAGTGTTGGCTCCTCTCTGCGTCGCATCGGGTGAGGCAGGTGCCTTTTCTGTGCCTCAGTTTCCCCTCACCTTTCTCTAGCGATTCCTTAGTGCTGGATCATGAAGGCTGCTGGGGATTTGTGCGCCTGCGGTGCCCCGGAGCCCTGCCTGACTTATCCCCCTTAGTAAGGCAGCTAATATTCAAGCTAATATCCCAATAATCCAAATTAATACTCACCCTGCCTCAGGTCAAATCCCCCAAATCCTCTGTAGAGCACAGGAGCTGAGGCAAAATCCTCAGCTGGGTGATTAGAACCCGCCCAGGGCTCGTCCCTCCGGGATCCCGGAGAAGCCGCTGGGGTTTTCCCCGTCGCCTTCCTGCGTGTCTCGACCACAGCCTCTCCTGGGGTGCTCGGGGGGGAGTTAGGGGTTGCTCGTGCCCTTCCTTGCAAGTGCAGGAACCCCCTGCAAAAGGGCTCGTAGCTGTCACGTCGTCCCTGAAGGGGCTTGGAACAGCTTTTTCACACCACCAGTATCTCACCTGGCTTTTGGGGGGAGATTTTTGTGCCATGTCTGGCAGTTGCTGCTCCTCTCATGAAGCTTCATGAAGATACCACCATCTAGTGTTAAAGATGGGCGCTGAGGAGGCGGGAAATGGGGGGCTGGGAGTGGGGGGCTCATCCTTTGGGGCTGTTGCCGCGTCACACGCCAGGGGGGACCACAGCCTTGTCCCCAAGCTTGGGCTCGGGGCAGCGGTGGAGAGCAGCAGCTGGTTCAGTCGGCAGATCGACAGGAAGACACAGGCTAATAAGGGATGACACAGAAGGATGGGATTAATTAGGAAGTTGCCCATGTCGGTAGTCTATTTATAGCCACCGGTGTGCTCACAAAAATTACTACCAGCCATTATTGCAGCCTGGTATAAACCACGGTAAATAAACTAACTCCCAGCCACAGTGAACCCGCCGCCCCCCGAGGCAGGAAGCTCAGGAGGCTCCGCAGCACCCGCGGAATAATTAATAAAGAAGAATAATAACAACAAACCCGGCACAAACTGAGGGAGCAGGGTGAGTAGGAAGGGCGCTCACCCCATGCTCTGCGCTGTAGAGGCCCCCACAGCACCAGGCCTTTACTGGTCCCAGCACACCCGGGGGCAGGCCCCTATGGCCTCTATAGGCCCCTGTGGCCTCCACCATCCCCACTGACATGCCCTTGTAGCCCCTATGGCCTCTATAGGTGCCTGTGGCTCCCACCACCCCCAGTAACAAGCCCTCGTAGCCCCTATGGCCTCTATAGGCCCCTGTGGCCTCCACCATCCCCACCAACATGCCCTTGTAGCCCCTACGGCCTCTATAGGCCTCTGTGGCTCCCAGCACCCCCAGTGCCAGGCCTTTACTCGTCCCCAGCACGCCTCGGGGCAGGCCCCTATGGCCTCTATAGGCCCCTGTGGCTCCCACCACCCCCAGTACCAGGCCCCTGTAGCCCCTATGGCTTCTATAGGCCCTTGTGGCTCCCACCACCCCAGTAACAAGCTCTTGTAGACCCTATGGCCTCCATAGGCCCCTGTGGCCTCCACCACTCCCAGTACCAAGCCCCCATAGCCCATATGGACTCCATAGGCCCTGTGGCCCCTAGCACCCCCCAGCGTCAGGCCCTTACTGCCCCTATAGGCCCCTGTCACCCCCTGCGCCCCAGGTTTCAGGCCCCTATAGGCCCCTACAGACCCCTATCTCTTGTAGCCCCTACGGCCTCTATAGGCCCCTGTGGCTCCCACCACCCCCAGTAACAAGCTCTTGTAGCCCCTACGGCCTCTATAGGCCCCTGTGGCTCCCACCACCCCCAGTACCAGGCCCCTGTAGCCCCTATGGCTTCTATAGGCCCTTGTGGCTCCCACCACCCCAGTAACAAGCTCTTGTAGACCCTATGGCCTCCATAGGCCCCTGTGGCCTCCACCACTCCCAGTACCAAGCCCCCATAGCCCATATGGACTCCATAGGCCCTGTGGCCCCTAGCACCCCCCAGCGTCAGGCCCTTACTGCCCCTATAGGCCCCTGTCACCCCCTGCGCCCCAGGTTTCAGGCCCCTATAGGCCCCTACAGACCCCTATCCCCGCCGGTACGCCGCTCTCAAGCCGCCGTTTATCCCCCGAAACACCGCGGGGAAGCCGTCGCGGGTCCGTCGGGCGGCGCTAGGACCGCGGGGAGGGAGGGAGGAAGGGATTGGGGGGATGAGAA